ATGTCTGAGTGTTCACATTCAGCGTCATCTGAAGTTCAGGAAATAATCCTTCCTTTTGACAGGCAGAATTGGAACCACAGAGGGGCATTGACTGGGACAAACACAGCAGTTGTTCAAAAACTCTCTCTCAATTATCACTGCAGTTTTGTTTGTGTGAATTCTGCCTGCCTGCAAAATAGGATTTGCAAAAACTCCGAGCCAGATTTTAATTCAATAGAAATCAGAGTGGAGGTAACCATGGCAGAATCACAGCTTTTTATTCCAGTAGAAAGTGTTGAAAGAGTTTCACAGCCAAGCCAAACCATTTGTTTGTTGTTTTGTAGTCAACGTTTTACAGCCTTCTTTTAGTACAAGCTGTTCATTTAAAAGAAGGGGGAAACTGGTCAGGGCATGAGCTCCAGTGGTTTTCTGCTTCCCTTGAATAGGAAAGGAGCTTTATCTCCCCTTAGAAGCCTTCAGATAGTCTGACAAAAGTTACAAAATACTTTAGATTTGAGGTGAAGGACTAGAGAAATCTGTGCTGCTATACTGGGAATTAATGTTGGCATTGCTCTTCCTCTTGTTGTATCCTCCCAAAATAATAAGATAATAAGATGTTTCCTGAAAGGAGAGTCCACTGAGCTACCCTGAGTTTGAGTTTGAATGCTGTGGGGACCCACCAGAGATAAATTTACAATTTATTTGTAAATTCACTTCCCAGTCCTGTTGACTCTGAGGAAAAAGCCTGAAGTTCAACTCCTAGAAAATGTTTACCCCTGGATCCCATTTGGGATGTGAGGAGCAGTCAGTGAAAGGCAGTTCAGGTGCCAGCACCGTTAAATGAAGTAGGAGCAGGTGGGATCACATTTCTTCATTTCTTTATAGCTTTGGTCAAACAATCCATTAGGATTTGTGCCTCACAGGCTCCACAGGAGTGAGCTGGGGATGTCCTGGGCAGAGAGATGTTGGTGGGAACTTTCTGGCCTGGCTCTTGAGGAAAAATGAGCATCTGGGAACTCCTTTGCAGTGGCCACATTTTGCATAAATGCCTGGGCTGAGATAAATGTCTGAGATACTTGGGGATTAATGGGTGTGAGGAACAGGGCCAGCCAAAGGCAAGGAACAGCTCTGGTCAGCACAGGGATTTCTGGAATAATACATCCCAAATGGAGCTTGGCCGGGCTGCTATTGCCTTTTTGGCTTTTGTGAGGGAGGAAATTTTAATCCCTTAAATCACGGTGGGGAGGTTGGAACGAGATGATATTTTAGGTCCCTTCCAAACCAAACCATTCTGTGATTCTACGAAATTCAGCAGCTCATTTTTAAGATGCTTCTCAGACTCCATCAGTCATTCCTGTTCAGTAGTGTTTGCATCACTCTTCACTCTCTTTTTTCACACATTTTTTTCTGGGACAAAACTGTAATTAAATGGGATTGGGGAGAGGGGTTCAGCCATGGATTACTCAGTGCTGTTCTACAAAATAAAGTGGAGTTATTTTTTAAACTTCCATCTCTCATATTTCTTGTGCTGATGCCCTTTTGGTGCTTGAAAATGTAAGATGTCCTACTTCTGGTGGTACCTCTGTTGACTTTTTCTTTAGCTTTTACTTATCCTGAAAATCTTCAGTGTTTCTTTGTGTGGTTTTCCTGCTCAGCAATTTTCTAACATTGCAGAGGGAAAGTCCCCAAAAGTCTTGGCACTTGTGGAGGAGATTCTGCTTTAGAGCCCTGAGCTGCAGGGTAGGGAAAAGCTTCCAAATAATCCGACATATCAATGCTTTCAGTTATTAAATCTGAATTCCTGGGATGTGTCTCGAATCCCAATATAATCAACTTGCATGTGTGATTATTATTATTTTGTAACAGTAATTAAGGACAAGCATAGCAGAAGTGTTTCAGATTCATGGAATTTGCCGAAGAAAATTTAATTTTGGTGCTCTTACCACACTACTAAAGCTCCATGATTTTAGGTGTTGACTTTCAGTTTTCATCTACCAGCTTGTTTCATGCTAAAAACCTCCTTTTTGGGGCTAATTTCACCCTTGTTTATGTATTTTTAAACAAAAGCACGACTGAAATGACTTTCAGCTGCTTCTTCTGGTCTGTTGAAGGGCAGTGGAGTTGGGAATGGTAATGGCACATACAGGCAGCAACAGGGAGAGGGAGGGATTGATGGACAGCACTAAGTGTGGCAGAGGAGCCCATGGAATAAACAGGAATTATCAAAGTCCTCTCTGAATTCTTCTGAGTCTGCATTGCTCCCTCATGTGCTAATCAGACTTAAAATTTGGGGCATCATTCCTTTGTAGCACCTTTGGTCTTCACTGACTGAACAGTATCAGACTGATAACTAGAAAAGTGATTTTTTTGGAGGGCAAATCATGGGGTTGAAGGAAAATATGTGTAGAAGTTTGCTTGTTATTCTTCTTTGCTCATCAACAAAGCACCAAACTTTCAGGAAATTATATCTACAACAATAATAAGCTTAAAAAAAGGGATAATAAAAAGTATCAGGTGTTGGCAGTGTGTTGTGAAAGCAGCTGGCTGGTCCTAAATCTAATTCCTGGGGTTTTATGGTGTGGCAGTAAAGAGGAGAGCAGACAGCACTTACCCACTGAGCTGGAATTAAATCCAGATTTGTTTCAGCAGGGCATTAATGGGGTTCCTGCAAGAGAGAATCTCTGCCTTTGGGTCTGTTACTGGGTGGCAAATCATCTGGACGGGGAGTTTTTTGAGCTGTGACAATATGTTACAACTCAGATTTTCCCAAATTAAATTCATTATGCCCATTAACTGGTTTTCATGTGAGATGTACTGTCAATTATCTTTTTGTGTGTGAAGCCTTTTACAGTAACTAAAGGGGCTTTCTTTGCCTTTATTCCTCATGTCTGTGTGGTTCACGTGCCTGTGCTATAATTCCTCATTACTAAATGAAAAAGTCTAGGTAGCTTTGCTGAGTTTCCCCTCTTGAAAATACATTTTGAAAGGTCAGTTCCTCACTCCTCTGTAAAGATATTAAAGACAGAATTTTGAACCAGTAGTATCTATTCACCAAAAAAAAAAGGGAGGGGAGAGCTAGCAGCGTTGTGTCACATTAGGAGCTTGCTGCTTCCTTTAAAAGGTGTTTTAAATTCCTTAATTATGGCTTTCCATAGAGTAAAACCCATTTACAGCTGTTCACAATGTTTTCTGAAAGTGCAAAGGATTTAAGGAGAATAATCAAAGCAGAAATATTCTGTACTGGCCCTGCCCAGGCTCAGTGGATCCCAAAGCACAGGTTTCTGGGTTCCCTGACTGACCACGTTGTACTGGGTATTTTCTGACCTTCTGCATCATTTTCTGTTGTTGAATTGCTTAATTTCAATATATTTTCTGTATATTTGGGCACTTTCTTTATAGAAACTTTACAGTTTAGCAGGTGGATTCTTTAGCACAGTGGTCGTGTGGCATGAGGAGCAAAAAAGAAAGGTTTGATCATAGAACTCAGTGAAATTCTTTGTGCATTTCTGAGCTATTTACTCATATTTGGGATAAATTGAAGCCAACTTTGCCCTTCAGCAGCTGATCATGTCCATTTTTAGCTTTGGCCTTCTTTAAGGTAGAATTTGAATTGCTACACCAATATACTCCCAATCCAGTTCATGACATGAGCATCTCTAATCGTTGCTGTATTTTTGTCCTCGCTCTTCCCAGTTTTTAAACCTCTGAAAATAGCTCAGGAAAAATTCCCAGGAGCCAGGAGGGAACACTAAAATGGTATATATACTGTAAAATATATAGGTCCTACAATAACAGGAGGTAAGATGGGTGTAACACTGATAAATAATAACAGAGGGATCAGTTGGTCATTTTTAGCTGGGATCCCATTTTAGTCAATCATCTTAATTTGGTACCTGGAATCCAAAGAAAACTGGGGATGGAAAAAAAGAAGTGGAAGCTTAATCACAGTATTATTTTAGGAAACAGGATTAGCAGGGATGCAGAGATGTGTATCCTCACAGGGATAACTGAAAAGCATTTATTTCATCCCATCAGGGAGACTGATCATGGCAAAATCATTTAAAAATTTAAAATACAGACCAAATGTACATTAATCTATTACTTTATGCAGATGGTCAAAAAAATCTTAGTTTTCTTTCTTAGTTTTTTGGTCAGTGCCTAATTTGGGTTATCTGAATATGCTTTAAATGAACAGAATAGTGAAATCCATTTTTTCTGATCACTGTTTCAGATTTCTGCCATGGAAGGAGACCATTTCTTGATCCTGAACCAGAAAGTCCCTTGGAAAAAGTAAGTGGATTTATAATCAAAGACAACAGTTAAATTCAGATGTTATGAAAATATTAATGACATTTTAATGTCTTAATATCTAGTAAGAAAGTAGTTACAGAAGATAAAACAGCCTGTTACTTTCCTTTCCTCTACTGCAGATATACCACAAGTGTGTAAATAAGTTTATTTTAACAGTAATGCACTGTTTATCTTTTTTTCAGAAAGGGTTGTTTTAAGAATTTCTACCTGATTAATAAGGTTGTGATCTCTCACCATTTCAAAATCTGCATATATTTCCAACAGAACTCTGCCATTCTTAGAAATAAGACATTTATAAATGCCCATATTTGGGATGATTTAGCAGAAATGCTTGCCTGGTGTGCTTTCCTGTGCCCTGAACATCTGGCCTGATGTTCAGGCCCATCGGTTCTTTAATTCCAGCGTGTGTTTGTGCCACTTAGAGAGGAGGAAACTTCATCTGAATTTTAGTACCAGTCATTTCAACCCCCTGGCCTTGGATGGGGGATGATTAGTGATAGAAGAAAAAGATAATCTTATATTAATAAAAATTGGGGTGGTTTTTAGGGGGACCATTGTGTCACTGGAATGTGGGATGTGACATCACTGTCACCCTTGATTGTCCCCATTGTTTGTGAAGCCACCATGGACATGTCACTGCTGTTTGTGCTGGCTTTGAGCTGAGACCTCCCAGTGCATTCCCAGTATTTGGTTTCTCTGGATAAGGTGGAGTCCTGTGGGAATTTCTTGCCCCCAGGACACACCGTGTCTGTGCAGAAGCAGCAAAGTGAAGTTTCTGTTTGGAAATCTGATAAATGGGTGAGCAGATGGCGGTTTGTACGTGTGATGAACTGATTTGAAGTGATTAAGACAAGTGTAAAATTGGATTTTGAGCATCTTAAAAAGTGCATGGCTCACTTACTTTAGATTTCATGCAAAATAACAGTAAGTTCTGTGACAATTTGGAAATTTGGCTGAAGGAAAGCTGTTAATAATCCTGGTGCTGTCTCACTTCTTGAGGGATGGAAGTGGTACAGCCTCCTGTGGTGGCAAAAGCAAGGACTTACCAAAGGGTATTAGAACTTTTACCCAGCTGGAAACAGGAGTTAAAAAGGAACTTCCCTACTATTTATTGTTTAAAATTTTACTTTTAGTGTTATGTGAAAAACTAAATCGTTTAAAGTGTTAATTCTGGTTTTATATGAAAAAATAGTGCACAGAACGAGGATTCAGTCTGCTCTATAATTCATAATTTTAAAGGTTAATTATTGTATATAAATATGACAATTTCATACCTGTGTGATTACAGGGGAAGTAATGGGTGGATTTGCAGTATTTAATCCAGTTTATTTTTTGGTTTTAGCATTACTTTTCTAACTCTCTGGACTTCTGAATTCATTTTGAGTGGCCTGTTGAGAGCTTCAGCTGTTCGCACCCATCACAACTTGCCTAAAGGATTGCTGTTTAATTAGGATTGAATTAAATGACACAAACCAGCCTCAACTCCTAAATATCACCATTTTTAATCCTTCAAGCCACTCTCATCAGGCTTAGAAAGGACTAGATGCACCTGCAGCTCATTCACCTGTACAGGCACTTAAAATTCTGCCTCACGAGTGGCAGCGATTGCATATTCACCTCAGATCTGCTCCTGTATATTCATGATGGCTCCTCTCTGAACAAACAGTTCCAGCAGGATATTATCAAGGGGAATGCTGAAATAATATTGCACAGTCAACACAGATCTTAACTTGACCTTTTTTTCCCCAGCCCAGAAATATAAATGTAGCCGGTCTGCGGCTCGGAAAGTAAATTAGGCAAAGCAGGGAAACCTGCTGTTGGTACAAGTTTTCTGCTAATAATTTTCTAGTCTAAACAATCTCCTGTGATCCAGAACTCCCACTCCCATCTGCAGGCCAGCCTGTGTGCCACACAGCTTCCCAGTTTAGGAACGGGACAGCCCGTGCCTGAGGCTCTGAGAATCTCAGCGGAGCTGCTCGGGGGACGTGGGCTCGGAGCTGAAGGGCTGCTGATGGAGTCTGACCCCCCAAACTCTCTCAGAATTCCCAGGATTCAGTCCCTAGGGACTGGATCTTCATTTTAATTGTGCAGTTAAAACCCACCATTCTAGTCTTTATAATACAAAGTGTAGAAATTCTGGTTTTTTTCGGTTTTTGGTGGTAATCACATTACAGTTATCTGAATTAAAACATGGAAATGCTGATTGGAAGGGACCTCTGAGTCAACCTCTGCTGCCTGAACACTCCTTAAACCAGCACAAGGTCAGGTCAGACCTCGTCTGGTTGAATCTTGAAAACCTCCAGGGACGGGGATGAGTTGCCAGGCAGCATTTCTACACTAACAAGCCAAAAAAACCCACAAAAACCTCCAACAAACTAAAAAGTGCTGCACAAATGTCTCAGTTAAGTCATATTTTCACTTTCTATTTAAACTGCTATCTGTGGCCTTTGAAGGAACGTAGTGAAAGGGAAACTGGCAGGTTTTACATAAATAAATACATTAAATCTTGTCTCTCAAATTCTGAAGAAACAAACAGATGATGAAATTGGTGTAGCCTGAAGTGCCAGGAAATGAAATAATGGTAAAATACACATATTTGAGAAAAAGATCTAATTTCATTGTGCTACCATCCCAGCAAAGGCAAAATAGAATTAAACTAATGATCATTTGGAACATGTTATTGTACATTTTGCTTATACAAATGGTGTTGACTGTGTGTTACACAACATTTACCTTATTCACAAATGGGAATTTTTAATAGAATGTTTTTATTTGGAGAAGATATTTGCATATGCACTCATAATTTTTTTTTTCTCCTGGAAGATAAATTATTCTCTTTAATACACAGGAGAAATAAGCTGCCTTCCCACCAGCTTCCATAGAAATGTAGTTCAAAACTCCTTGTGATGTAGAGGGAGATTTGCAGCTCCACAAAAAATAAGAGGCTGTGATTTTTTTTTCCTTTCTTTAAAGCAGTTCTCTTTTTTTTTTCTTTGCTTTTCTTACCTGTAACTTTATTTATTGAAAGTGCACTAATTTGGTTTCAAGGAGAAAGTGTAGTAAACAGATGGAAAAAAAATATTGGTATCTTTTGCCACCACTAAGCATCTTGCAGCCAGGAAATATTTATACTTGTAAATAAGATAACGTTTAAAAAATTCTCTTTTGAAAACCAGGAAATGATTCTTAAATATGGGAAAAAAAATACCTTTGTAATGAGATGTATCTGTGCATGTTGCATGGGATATTAGACACTAATTTATACAGCCCAAAGTGTGTTCACCTATTTTCAGTTTATGAGCACAGATATACTGGGAACAAAGCTCTACCTTCTGAGAAGATAAGTGCTTTTTAGAGATCTCTGGGGTCTCTGGGGTTTTAATTAGGGATTTTTATAGCTTTTGTATACGAGCTTCTAAGACCTTTTTACTTCAAAATAAAATTCAGATTTTTTTTGTGTCCTCCCTTGATCAATTTTAAGGCCAACAATAAAGGTGGAAGGAACCTGTTTCTAAATATTAATGAGTGCCTTTCTAAAAGGAGAAGGAACCTTCAGCAGTGTGTACGAGTAGTACCTTTAAAGGGATATTTTATAAATATATAAATAGTTCTAGAGCATTTGTAATTAAAGGAATCATTTAATTATGCTCCCAGATTTAGGCATTGACTGGTGAACGCTGTGTTTTGGGACAAGCTGTTCCATGCAGGTCTTAGGATGGGAGTGATGTGCATTCATATCTATATATCCTGCTAAAATCTGGCCTGGTTTTTGTGCTGTTGATTGAATTGTTTTGGGTTCTTCTTGCTGAGCTGGTGATGGGTTTAAAAAAAATGAATCTGCATAAGAACCTTGGCATTTAAGCCCTTTAAGTATAAATGAAGGCACAACTTGCTCCCTGAATGGTTCCAGCAGCCTCCTGAGCCTCATCCGTCGTGGAGCAGCCCAGGCCCAGACTGGAACAGGGAGATGTAAATGTGTCAATATATGAACAGTGGTTTATGGGAAGGGTTCGTGCTCTCCTGCCCTTCCCACCCAGGGCACACTGGGATGTGCCTCTGGCTCGGGAATGCTCATCTGCACTGGCAGCCCGGAGAGACAAGTGTGCCCCGGGCTCATCCCACAGCCAGGGCAGAGGTGAGGGGGGAATTCCGCCCCTCTGTCCCCTCAGGTGAGACCCCCCCTGCAGAGCTGCCTCCAGCCCTGGGCTCCAGCACTAGAAGGACGTGGAGCTGTTGGAGAGAGTCCAGAGGAGGCCCTGGAGATGCTCCGAGGGCTGGAGCCCCTCTGCTCTGGAGCCAGGCTGGGAGAGCTGGGGGGGTTCACCTGGAGAAGAGAAGGTGAGACCTGAGAGCCCCTTCCAGAGCCTAAAGGGGCTCCAGGAGAGCTGGAGAGGGACTTGGGACAAGGGATAGAGAGAAAGGACAAGAAGGAATGGCTTCCCACTGCCAGAGGGAAGGGATGGATGGGGTATTGGGAAGAAATGCTTCCCTTGAGGGTGGGGAGGCCCTGGCACAGGTTGCCCAGAGAAGCTGTGGCTGCCCCTGGATCCCTGGAAGTGTCCAAGGCCAGGTTGGATGGGGCTTGGAGCAACCTGGGATAGTGGAAGATGTCCCTGCAGGGGGTGGAATGAGATGGGCTTTAAGGTCCCTTCCAGCCCAAACCATTCCATGATTCCGTGGTCTCTCCATGAGAGCCTTCACCCCCCTGAGCCCCTGGCAGCACGTGTCCCATGACACCTGCAGGGTCTGCCCCCAGTGCTCCCCTCTGGGGACCAGGAGCCCCTCAGTGTCACACAGGCTGTGGAGGAGCACCCTGTGCCACCCAGTGCCCACCTCTCCCTGACCCGCTGGGTGCTGGGGCGAAGGGGACCCAAACTGTCCCAGGTGGGGTGACTTTAACTCTCATGAGTTTCAGTGGGTGCCCATTTACATCCAGTCAGAGCTGAGGGCGATACATTGGGTTAAGCAGCTTGATAAGGGTTGAAATTCAGTGTCTCAGGGTATCATTATGTGCCACTGGAAGCTCTTTCTGGAGATGGAAGTGGAATGACGAGGGCTGGATTAGGTCATGTGCTAAATGACAGGTGAGTTTAATGGGTTCTGACTGACACAAGCAGAGCTGACACATCAGGGCTGCCTTTCTCAGCTCTGCACTTGATCTGATTACAGGCAAGAGATTATAAATTCTTTCTTTGCAGAGGAGAAGTGGCTCCAGGAGGTTGAAACCATTAAAAGTGGTCTCCATCAAAGGCTTTAAGTGTTCAGGGCAACGCAGCCACCCTTGTGTTTCCAGAGTAATTACAAAGCTAAAAACATATCAACAACCCTGCCCTTCACGCTGAGAATTCTTCTTATTACAAAGGCAAATAGTCAAAAGGAATAAAGAAAAACGAAAGGGGAAAAATTGGCTGTATTCCCAGATAACTGGAACTTCCAGAAACCGCCCAGCACTGACAGAGACTCCAACAGCCAGAGCAGGGTGTGAGGAGGAACAAGGCCTGAAGGACAGAAGAGAGAATAAAGCAAACAGGCACCTCATAAACAAAAATCCATTCCCTATGGATGGTGCTGAGGGCCTGGTTTGGGCTGAAAATTTCAGGGAATCACAATTAAAGGGATTTGTTTAACAGGATGAGGAAGATGATTTGGAAGGTTGGGTTGGAACTGTTTTGTTTTCACTGGTCTCTGAGACTGTTGGGGCACCTTTGGGTGCTACTGAAAGGTACCATTTTATGGAGGAGGGCTGTTGGAAGCAAAAGGGGAGGTTGGGATGGAGGTACCTGCTCAGCCTGGATGAAACCACCCCTTGGAACTGGGTGGTCAGTGTGGTAGTAGAACCACTTGCGCATGAGATCAGAAAGGGAGGAAAACTGTGGGCAGGAGAGGTGATAAAAGGATATTCTAACCTGGAAGGGACCGCAAAGGAAATATATATTTCCAAAAAAAAAAAAAAATCCCAAGTTTAAAAAATAAAATATTTACAAGAGAGACATGGATACTTTAGTTTGATTATTCTGCTCTCTGATTTGTGGAGAAAAGGGGTGCTCAGGCAGGTCGGCACCACCTGGTGCCCTCCTGGCACCTCCTGTGACGTGGTGCCAAGCGTGCTCTGCTCCCAGCCCCACACACGGGCAGCTCTGCCGTCAGCAGCTTCTTTAGAGATTAGAAAGTTCACTTTGCTACAAATTATTTATGGTGTTCAGTTTTCAGGGCTGTTCTGAAGTGCTGCCTTCAGCTGGGGCTCAGATGATAACTCTGTCAAAAGCTTTCTTAGTCAGCAAAATATTAATAAATACTTGACGGCGGATCACGTAACACATATATTATAAATATCATTTATCCCTGGAAAAGAGCACAAGTCACAGTAATTGTTGACAATTTTATTCAGAAAGGCTGTTTTTGTTGTTTTTTTTTTCACACTTCTGTGCATCATCTGCCAAAAGAAACCCCCCCAGACTGGGGAAGTTTGACTCATTGTGTGACGCAACAGAAAACAGATGGCAAACCCTTCACAGATTTTAGGGTTAGGCCATGTGGGGTGGAACCCCCACAGCAAAATTCGTGGTTTTTAAAAGTCAGTGACCTCATTTTGGAAACTGGGTGTTTTTCTCGCTCATTTCATACGTTACTTGAGGTGGTTTGGGGTGTTTTGAGGTGGATTTGAGGCGTCTGGAACTGGTTTGGGGGGGACTTGGGGGGCTTTGAGGTGGGTTTGGAGGGGTTTGAGGTGGTTTAGGGGGATTTGAATTGGTGTGGGGGGGATTTGGGGGATTTCGAGGTGGTTTGGGGGGGGCCTGGAGGTGAAATTTTGGGATTTGCGGGGGCTTGGAGGGATTTGGGAGGTGGTCCGAGGAGTTTGAGGTGGGTTTGGGAGGGTTTTGAGATGGGTTTGGGAGGGTTTTGAGGTGGTTTGAGGAGGTTTTAAGGGGTCTGGGGATGGTTTGGGGGGATCAAAATTACATATGAGAAATAGGGGGTCATGGTGTTCTTCTCTTTAGTTTCTGTGGTTTGAATAAAAAGATTTCTTCAAGAATTTTAGTTTCAAAAAAAATAATTCCCAACATTCCTTCAATTCCTATGACAATTATTGTAGGATATTATTGCGGTTTTTACAATTTATGGTATATATTTGTGTCTTCCCTGTTAAAGCCTTGTATTTGTATACAAATATATATGAATATATACAAATATGTCTTAAAGGTTGGACTTAATGATTTTATAATTCTGTGGTTCTAAATAAAATCTCTGACATGTTGTGGAAAAAGGTTGGGATTACAGGATAAACCTATTATGATAAAGAGGGGAAAAAATGGGGAAATAAGATACAAAAATTATGTAGTAACTTTGATTGGACTCAAAGGAGTTCCCTTCTTCCAAAAAGACTTTTACACAAAAAGATTTATAGCTGATTTATAGCTGAATTATCTGAATTCAGTTGTGAAATCAAGAGAAATGTAGTGCTTTCAGATACAAATACAGGCCCAGGAGTCTTTCTGAAAACAGAATATTGTATTTTTATATTTTATTTTCACCCACAGATCATTCTCCCGGGTAGACACTGGATTTATTTCCACAGAAGTCTTTGCAGGAATGAAGCTGTTGGCTGTAGGAAGAAAAGAAAAAAGTGAATGTGTTCACATGGGAATATCAGGACTTTTCTGAAAATATGTGTTTTTTCCAGGTTGGGATTCATATGTGGGAAGATCTTTGCGTGTGGTGCTGTTTGCTGGGGCAGGGGAACACCCAATTCCGAGATGTGTCATGGTCTGCCTGCTCTTCCTTGGTTTTGTGAGCTGGGAAGTTTGGGAAGCGTCGGCAATAATAACTCTTTGCTTTTCCTTTCTGTTTCCAACCTAAACTTCTCTGTAACCTGGCAGAAGTTGTGAGTGAGATGTTCTGTGGGTGACCCAGGACCCCTGCAGACGCCGTGTGTGATGTGCAGCTCCATCCCTGGTGCATCCCTGGTCGTTCCTGCCCTCACCTCTGTCCTCCTGCCCTGCCCTCCTCTGTCCTGCCCGTCCCCTCCTGGCTCACACAGAGGTCACTGCATCTGCTCCAAAGGGGCTGAAAATGCTTTAGCTGAGGACCTTCTGAAATCATGTTATTTTAATGACTCCATTTGGCTTTGGGCACATTTCTATCAGCTGGTGAGCACGTCCTGCAGCTCTTTTTGTTGACTGACAGGTGATATTGCAGCAGTCACTCAAGCGGCTGTTTTAAGATGCTTTGGATGATTTGTCTGTGCTGGGATGATTCATAGCTCCATTTTTATTTCATAATAAAGAGAAAGTGAGAAGGATTCTGTCTTCTCCTGCGGTTCTCACTGCACTGGATTGCCCACCTGTATCTGTGACCTCTTCTATCCCATCTCAAAGTTCAGAAGAAAATAAGTGCGAAGTAGCACAAGGACTTTATAAAATAAATCTCTCTCCTTTGTTTCTGGCTGTTGACTTTCTGCTGCCTGCAAGTTGGCTTCAATACCTGGCTCTGTCTGGAGTGAGTTTTTGGGATCTTAAAAGCAAATGTGGTGTAGAGCTGCCAAAATCTTGCTTTATCCAAACTTCTCAGTATTTGAACCAATTTTTTCTGTGCTGTGTCTCTGTTTCGTATTTCGTGCCACAGGATGGACCCTCCTTTGGAAAAACAGGATAACTCTGAGAGAATCTGAATGATTTAGGCTGGCAAAGACCTTTAAGATCATCAAGTCCAACCTTTACCACTGCCAAGGCCACCATCATGTTCAGGTACACTGACTTTCTTCAACTGGGAATGGGGAAACCTTACAAGAAGTGACACCAACAGCATCCAAGAGATAACTGTGCTAATGGAATTTCTGGTCCAGAACAACCCATTAACTCTTAAAAAGTATTGCTCTGTGTCAGGGAACAGCAAGGACAGTAAAAATGGTGATGGATGTGAGACATTACATACAATTTCACACTTCTTTGGGTTCTGATTTATGGATGTTACTAATTTTACAGGACAGTTACATGTTTTGCAGAAATCCTAAGATCTAATTATCAAAGGTGCTGCTCCTGTTCAACTCTAACTGAAGTCGTAACCTTCCTGAAAATAGTCCTATAAATGATTTGCCAGGTTCTACCCAGATTTATCAAAAGAACTTTTATGGCAAAAAAAAAAAGAAGAAAGGATTGGTGGTGTGTGTGCTTAGGATGGTGCCAAAGGCCAAGAGTGTGGGGCAGCATGTGATTAACATCATTAGAGCATTTAATGCAGCATCAAAAGGAGTATTAGAGGGCAAATATAAAGTTATTCACTCTGAGCTGGAGATAACCCTATAAAGAGATAGAGGAAAATAAAGGTAGGAGAGCTGAGGTGAATGTGTGTGGACACCTTGTTAAAAGTCTGTGTGTGTTGGGGGAGTCTGTGACACTAAATAGATCATAAAACATGAAATAGTATTATTGTCATTTAATCCAGCAACCACAGCTTTAATTTTATGCTTAAAATTAACTTATGCCATTCAGAAAGTATTGTCTGGCTTAGAATATTTTCAGCTTTAAATAATCACCAAAGCATCGTGATTAATTCTAGTCACTGTGTTTAAGATATCACTAGTTTTAAAGTATATTTTTCTATACTAGTATCCAAAAACTTATCTCTTTCAGCTGGCCTGAATAACACATTTTCAATCTTGTTCACCATGTAGTTTCTGGGAGGCTTTTAAGTTTTGTTTTGATTTGCACTGCAAGGAACTCTGAGACTCAAATATGGAATTTCTGAAGAATCAATCTAAGAACTGATCTTATTTGATGTTTTCTCTAGTCCTCTGGAGAAAAAAATGAGAGGATGCTAATGGAAGTGGTTGAAAAAATGGGAGCTGTTGTAAGAAGAGGAGGGCAACAATATCACAGAGAAGTTCTTGAATGACATTTGACAAAAAATCGCACACGGTGTTTAGCACTCGAGAGGATGAAGTGCAGTGTTCCACAGTGAAGGATGAACAATTTAAAAAGGAACAAATTGAAAGGCTTTATCAGGTGGCCATGACTGATCAACATGTTGGTGCATCACTCAGACTGGGACAGGCGTAGGAGATGAACTCTAGGGATCGTAGGGAAGGGGAGATGGGAATAGAGAGCAGAAGAATATTATCAAATATTGTAAGTGATCAATTTACTGTGGTTTAACAAATTGCCTCTCACCAGCTTCTTTGTAGGAATGTGCCACATGGATTTCCTTTTTCCTCTGGTGGATTGTACAGTGGGTTTAAACTGCCTTGTGTGTGGTGATGACCCACAAAGACCCTCTCAGACATGGACCCTGGACCATCCCATCCTGACTGTTCACAGGTATCAATTCTGGGACATAATCAAGCTCATCCCATCGTTTACCATGTTCATTCCTATCTTTACTTTTTGAATTGAACCACCCAGGGCCCAAACTAAATGTTTCTGATGTTTTCACCTTTCATTAATCAACCTCTAATCTTACAAAGAGGCACCTCATTAGTTGGGCAATGATCTAATCTTTATAAACCTGAGTTTGATTGGCATTAATTACACTTTTCTTAGTTCTGTGCTTAATGAGCTCTGCCTCAGTCATTCCATTACTTGGCCTGGAATCATTGTCAGAATGATAATTATATAATTACTTTGTCATTCTGTTTGTCTCTTGTATATGTAGACAAAACATTGCACTTCTTTCACTTGTTCTTGAATAGACATTGAAAGTCACTGTTCATAAATAACACTTGTTTGAAACCTATGGAAGGAGCCTGTGTTGGCCCTCCTCGTTTATGATGCCTGTATTTAATAACTTGGCCTCTTAATTTTTGAAAAGAAAGTGACTCATCATCTCATGGACAGAATAAATCAATTGGCTTTTGGCAGAACAACAGGTGAGTTACCATGCAGTGAATTACCAGTGTTAATTTTTCTGCCATTTCTGTCTAGTAATGGATAAATCCCGTTGCTGGCATTCCCTACATCTCTGCTGTGCATTACAGAGTTTTCTGAACTTTGGGAAAGATATTGTAGTTCTATTTATTTATTTTTTTTAAGCAGATGGTCAGAGGCTTAACCCTCTGACCCTTTCCTGTCAGCTTTCCACACTTTCCAGCTTCTGCTTCAGAGTCATTACACCGGTTCCCAGTTTCTTTTCACAGTCCTGGATGCTGTAGAACTGCTTTTGCTTCCCAGACTTCTTTCCATATAATCTTTTTCAGGTTTGGTTGTATTTTATGGCCTCTTTTCCTCATTATAGGAGACACTTGTAACTTCAACCTAAAGAAGTTAATCACAAGTGAAGCTTACAGTTAATGGGCATAATGGACAGAGGCAGAACCCTGAGTGTCTCCCAGGTTTGCCTTGCTCCAGGTCTGTCCTTGTTCCTTTGTGCACAGCAGAGAAAGGAGTTGAAGAGAACATGACACATGCACAGTGCACAGCCAGTGCCATCACCCTCCTGGAGCAAAGCTGCCAAGGGAAAGAGCCTCTTTGAGTCCCTTTTCTCACTCCTTTGCTCATTAGTCACAGCTCTGACAAGCTCCTCACTCTCTCCAAGCTTCCATCTCCATGTGAGGAGGGAACGACAAATCGCTCCAAGCTGAGGCAAAAAGCTGATGAAAGACTCAGCAGTGATAACGCTGCCATTCCGAGTGGTGGGACAATCCCACCTCCTCCCAAAACACCCTCTCAGCTCAGCCACGTTCAGGTGTTCAACCCCCCCAAAATATAGCCAAGCAAAGAAACTGGTCAATAGAATGCATCAAACCCAAGTTCGTTTGACATCAAAGGCTGAGCTCCCACATCTGCTGGGACATGCTCTGTGTCCCCAGGGCTGCTCCTGCCACTTGCTGGTTCCCTGTCCCTGGCTCTGCAGTGGTGCTCTGACTCAATATTGATGACCTTGAAACTGCAAAAAACCCCAGACTTTATAACCTTTCCAAGTGGTTATAACTTGGTTTTTGATGCGTGTAATAGAGCCAGATTTTGGCTACGTAAATTCTGCAGTCCCAAAGCCACTTGAGTGAGGATCCACATTTAGGGGATAGTGGTTTTTTGATACTTTGGCAGTTTTATTTTATGAGGATACTTTTTTCCTTGATATTTTTTTTTCCCCACTGTTTATGTGATGCAGTGGAGGAGACAGCAATGGTGTGAAAAGAGAAGGTAATGCCTGGTAAAATGGAGAGAGTTCAGTGATTCTGTGAAACAGGAAAGATTACCTTGGAAAATTCACAAACTAATCAGAGCTCAGGGACACACACAGTGTTTTATTAAACTGGAAACACCTTCCTGTAGAACACGAACACTAAACCAAAAGAAACCTTGTACTCCAGTGACCAGCTGTTAGAGTGTGTGAATACAGGATCCTGGATGTGGAAAACACTGTTAGCAAACACTTCTGTGGGGTTTTTTGTAGCAATGCAAGAAGGCTTAAAAAATGATGAGTCTCTGTTAGCTAATAAAGGATTTATCGCCGTATTTTTTATGGATTCCAATTGCACGAGATTAGATATTCATGTGCTGGTGTCACTGTCAGTACCAGTGTGGGTTCTTACACCCATCAGCAGTTAAACTTTCCTCGGCAAACATCCCTCAAACCATCAGGGGTGAAATTTGGATTTGATGTCCTGCTCCAAGCTCTGATATTTCAGTAGTTATTTTTAGTCTGGAAACATAAAAATCCCTACTTGTGATTCCAAGGCAAAGAGGGTATTTCTGGAACAAAACTCTCGGTGCTGCTGTGCTGAGCACCTTTGAGCTGAAGGAGTGTTACACTTTAACATTCCATTTTATTGTTGTTGTGTCGGGCAGATGGACTCACCCTGTGGACTCTCCTCTTTCAGGGTTTGCCTTGATGGAATCCTCCCACACCACGAACTGAGCAAGCAGACCATAATAACTTTCTTCATTGAGTGTTCCCTTTTCAGGGTAATCCCAATAATCCTACCAGTGTTTTCCACGAGGAATGAAAGAGTGGTCAGTGTCATAGAAATCCGAGAATATCAACATCAAGACTGCAATAAGCCACAAAACTAAAATTCTGGGCTCCTGGTCCTCTGTTTCTGTCCTTGACCTTGCAAATGTCAGTTGAAGTGCTGTGCTTATGAACATACCTATTTATGTCATTTCAAACTGCATTAGAATTTAATGAAATCTGATGGACTCATTTATTCTTTTATGTATTTGCTGTGTATCTAATGCCATCTTAACCAATTTTACCCTCAGACTGAATGAGTGATACAGTTAAGTGACCATGAGGTGTGACTTTGTGCCACAGCACAATTCATTTTTGTCTCACTGCTGCTGAAGTTTGATGTGCAAAGGCTTAAATATAGGCTTGCAACTCTAATGCACTGAGGATGGACAATATAATCCTATTTGTTATGTTAAAATAGATAACCATGAAGTCTAATATGCCTCCTGATGAATTTATTATTTTTAAAACTTCACACAGTGCCCAAATTTTAGCTCATAATTTTAGCAGCAGATACAGGAATTTGGTTATCGGTCCTCAGTTCCTTGCAAAGTATTTATCCAGGAGAGGGGGTGAAGTGCAGCCACAACATCATATCATTTATTAGACTTTGGACAGCAGTAACTTGGATGTCGACTCTATTTAAAGACATCTTATGTGTCATGCTCTTAAGATGAAAGTTCATTAATTATATTGTAAACCGAGCTTTGATATTTTGGAAATCTAGTCTGGGGATTTTTTTTTTGTGCACCACAGATGGATTATTTCAGGATCTTTCAGCCCAAAACTGTACAACAGTAAATCAGCATTTCCACAGACAGTTCTTGATGTCATCTGCTGCACTTGCTGTTTTAGCACATGAATCAAAGGTGTTGCACTGCAACAATTCAGACTCCTTCAGCTAAAAACTAATATACTGAAGACAGAGGAGAAAACAAAGAGGAAATGGGGATGAATTGGGCTGGAACAGCAGAACTTGTCTCCTGATAGAACTCCTGACTCTGTGTTTCCAACTCTGATCCCTTCTGGCAGAAGTCTTATATATTTCCAAGATGCACCTCAGTTTTTAACTCCTCTGAGTGCAGAACAGGGTTGCAATGGATTGAACAGCCCTTGTGAGCATCATTATGTGGCTGCTGAACCAGGTTCCACCCCTGCAAAGGAAGGTTAGAGCTGCAACCAGCCCAAAATTGCTGAGCCTTCTCTACATCCTCTTTATTTGAAATGTTCTTTTCAGTGCTACTGTTCTCTCTTCCACAGTCTGCAAGGCCTAAATCTGTCTTTAATTTCCCTTAAAAATGTCAATTTGGGTATTTCTCTCTCCCTTCTCACCATATCCATGATGCTTTTTCTTCTTTTGAAAAGGTTCTGCGTCATTCTTTCATGCTGAGGTTTTGTAATTCTTTCCCATTTACATTTCTCTCTTTCAGGTCAATCTCCACTTATTTGAACAGCAGCTCCCCATAAAATCCTAGTGCAGCCCTCTTTACGTGCAGGTAAAAGAATTTATCATTCTAATACACTTGAAAAACACTTTTATTTTCTAATGATTTGTTTCAACACTATCACTTCTCAAAAAATCTGTATGAATATACAAGTTGCTAATGGACAATGTTTATGAATTATCCTCAATTTCCTGTGTACTAAGCCAAGTCCAATTTACTTAATTATTGGTTAAATCTAATTCTGACTGTGCTACATTTAAAAAGAAAGAAGAAACCGAGACTTTGATTAAACTTTTGTAATCACTAATTGCCAACCAAAGAGAAGTAAAATTCAGTGTGGGAAAAGTAACAAATTGGATTTTGCTCTGATGGTTTTCTTGTGTGGTGCATGCTTAATACTGTGAAATCACTATGAAATTGCCATTATTATTCTTCAATACAGAAGTTCTTTAATACAATCTTTGCAGGTAATTTACTCCAGAGAACAAGTAGGTGTTAGAACATGATAAAATGAAATTTCTGTAAAAAAACCCCTGTTTCCTGTTCCAGGCCAGCCTTGTATTCCCGGGAGTTAACATGGAATTTAAGGTTTGGGGTTTCTCATTTTAAATAAAAGTGTACTTGACCATCATACCAAGAAAAAAATAGCAGCAGCAATGTGTATGGAGTTATCTTAATTTTGCTGGAGATGCAGGAGCTTTTAACTCACACTGGAGCTACTTTTTGAGGCAGGTAATTTCCACTTAAATAAAGGTAAACTATTTCTTATACATTGCTAAATGTGAACCGACAGTGGGAATGAAAAGGACAATCTTACTAATCCTTGTGTTGGGCTTGAAGCTGCCTGAGAAATTAAGGAAATCCAGAATGGCTTATCTGTATCTGTAAAGAAAATCAGCTTGTCTTTAGACTACAAGAGGAGAGATTTAGATAAGATGTTGGGAATAAATTCTTTACTCAGAGGGTGGGGAGGCCCTGGCACAGGTTGCCCAAAGAAGCTGTGGCTGCCCCTGGATCCCTGGAAGTGTCCAAGACCAGGTTGGACAACCTGGGATAGTGGAAGTTGTCCCTGCCCATGGCAGGGGTTTGGAACTGGATGATCTTTAAGGTCTCTTCCAACCCAAGCCATTCTGTGATTCTCTGAAAATCAAAATTAAGTGCATCTTCACCAAATGTGAACTCCCAGCTCACTGTGGAACCTCACCGAAACTGCCTCTGTGTTGTATCACTCTGGGATATTTGACTGCTGCAATCTGTAGGCCTGCACTAGCTAAAAAAATATTATTCTTTCTGCTGGTCAAAAGTACAGCATTCTTAAGAAAAATTACTAATATTTCAATTTCAATGTAAATTAAGAAAGATTTGATCCCGATTTTGCATTAAGTTGCAACTGTCCTGCTAAAATCAAAGGAATTGCAGTAGAGCAAAAACAAAATGGGGAAACAAGCCCATAGAAAGGTAAAAAAATTGTTTATATGAGCAAAAAGAACAATATTTTGTGGTTATAAGAGAGCCCAGTGGGATAAATATAAATTAGACCTGAACATTACATAAAGTAGACCTGGACATTAAATGAAATCCGAGGTGTCCCAGTGTTGCATCCCCAGAACTTCCCCAAAGGGGCTCTGCAGTTGCAGAAGGGTTTGGGCTCTTGGGAAGGGAATGGTGCTGCTGGGGGAGGAGTCCCAGCTTCCCAAAAGCAGTGGGATGAGGGAAAGGGGAAATCCGGGTGAAAGACAGTTTTATTTGGATCTCAGGAGATAAAGTTGATCCAAGCTCCTCTTGGATCCTTCAGTTAGTGGGAGTGAAGCAGGACACAGGGCTCTTAGCTCCCTGGGTCTGTCAGAGGGGTTTAATCACACTCAGAGGAGTCATTTTCCTTCAACCTTTTCCATGGATACCTGGCAGGATCAGACATTTCCCTCTTTCCGGGACATTCCCTTTCCCAACCTTTTGGAGGAGGTGGTTTGTGCCGAGGAATGTGCAGCACCCACTTCATCCTGCACTGCTTTCCACTTCATCCTGCACTGCTTTCCACTTCATCCTGCACTGCTTTCCACTTCATCCTGCATTGCTTTCCCACTTCATCCTGCACTGCTTTCCCAGTTCATCCTGCATTGCTTTCCCAGTTCATCCTGCACTGTTCTCCCCATCCTGTGGGTTTTGCAGGTATCCTGTTTATTGCTGAGGTTATTAAAATGATATTTTATCCCAGGAGTGAGACAAGCACTTAGTGGAGCATATTTAATGAGCAACTTTGCCGTAGGTACACGGGGAGGGAGATCACTCAACACCTCCTCGTAATTGCATCACTGGAGGGGGTACAGGTTGTATTTTTGGAAACAGCACTTTGTAAGCCTTGCTGTGCATCCCTGGTGCTGGAAGGAGAAGCAGTGAAGAGGCTTCCTGCCTTTGCCAGTGCCCACACCAGCTATACCCAGCGGGGCAGGGGGCCTTGTGCCACCTTCCCCTCTCAAAAGTCACCACCTCAGGGGATTTTGGGTGGGAACAGAGCCCCTGTGCTCTGACATGGTACAGGGAGCAGAGTGAAAATGTGTTTCAGCTTCGCCCAGCACCTCCAGCCCACTTTACTCTGTGAAAGTGGTGCCTTGTAGACATTTCATGCAAATGCTGCTTTTTTATCATGTAAATTTAGGCAAGTGGGGTGTCTTTTGCCATAAATAAACATAAGCAGGTAGTGGTAGCTTTTTTTTCCATAAATATAGGAAAGAAGTGGTGTCTTGCTGTAAATCCCTCTTTTGTACAGCAGGTTTGTTTCTGTGTGCTTCCAGCTGTGTGTGAGCTGTCCCATCCATGACCCCATTGCCCTCTGCCAGAAATCCTTTGGGGACAGTGCCCAGCAGTGCCAGGGGTTGTGTGCTCACGTGGGCAGGGCTCAGACTCAGCTGGGCTTTGGGGGACCCTGTGCCACTCTTACTTTATCCTTTCTCCTGTACCTGTGGATATGCTCATGAATTATTTACCTGCCTCTAATACTTTAAATTCCTTAAGTCTCAGCCTGTCTGATATTTGGGGCTGAGGATGTCACAGGTTGCTGGTGTCACATTTGTGTGCTGAGACATGTCTCCATTTACCTCTCCTGCCTTTGGTATCTTCCTGCAAGTTTCCATACCTTTCACTTTTCTTTCCCTTTCTCTCTTCCCTTTGTCCTCCCAATTCCCTCTTCTCCATCCACAGCAAAATTCAACTTAAATGTTCAAGCATTAGGGGGGATGGCTGGGCAGGAGGATTCCTCAGGGATCTGAGTTGAGGTGCAGTGCTAAGAAAAGGGAGGGAAGAATATGTTGCTATTTCTGCCTTCTTGTGCTTTATCTTTAAAAATTCACCAACAAACCAACCTCTGGTTTTGTTGAAACAACACCCCGTTCTTTCTGGAGTGATTTAAACGTGAGAAGAAGAGAAAAATATCTCTTTGTGGATTTTAGAAGATGTGAAGTTAAAATAAATTATGGAATTTCTGCAGCTTCGGCATTATTGATAATTTGCTTCTCCAGCCCAAGGCGAGATTGAAAACAGTCAAATTTAAATTTACCAAGGGCTGCTTCCTGAGAAGAAATTTCTGTTTCTATTTTGGTTTGTTGTATGATTAGTGCTTTTTCAATAGAAGTATCAAATTTTTATCACACTCATGGATGTGTGTCTATTCCTGTACCTGTTCACTTTAATACGCTTCAGCAGAAAGGTATTTATATCTCTAAGGTGATTTTCAGCTGTTGTAGGACTTGCAGATGCAACAACAAATGATTTAGAGACAGTAGTTCAGTTTAAATAAACCCCAGAGTTACCAAGTGTCTGCTACCTTGTAACAGTCCTCTGAAGTGATTTATATTTTCCATGTTTGCTCAGAAAAAAAAAAAAAAGCTGAAAGGAACGTGGTAGGAGATTTTATTTCAGTCTTTCTAATGATTCATAATTAACTTTGAGGGAAAATGATATTTTTAACTCCAGATTTGCATCGCACGTCAAAACCGATCACTTAGTCATGGTAGAGCTCTATTATGAAAATTCCACAAAGATAGTGGCTTTTTTTTTTCCCTGCTTTTCTGTACCTGACTCCGGGGATGGGAAGAGGGGATGGAAGCAGTGACTGTCCTGCAGCAAAGACACGTGGTTGATGTGCACTGGTGGAGAGGGATGAGGGTGTGGAGATGGGAAAAGGAGGAGAGTTCAGCCCTGAGTTCTTTATTATTTGACAGTTTTATGAATAAACAGAAGACATGTTCATTCTCTGTGCTTTAATAGCAAAATCTACAGGAAGAACATTAAAAAAACCAAGCAAACTAGTCTTAATTCCATAGACAGGCGTCTAATAGGGCAGAGTTAGGTTGGATCTCAGGAAAAGGTTCTTCCCCCAGAGGGTGGTTGGCACTGACCAGGCTCCCCAGGGCAGTGGGCACAGCCCCAAGGCTGCCAGAGCTCCAGGAGGGTTTGGATGATCCTCTCAGGCACATGGTGGGATTTTGGAGTGTCCTGTGCAGAGCCAGGAGTTGGAATTGATGACCCTTGTGACTCCCTTCCCACTCAGGATGTTCTGGGATTCTCTGTTTCTAACGGTTTAGGTTTTGGTTTCACCTCTTTGCTGCAGATCTGATGCTCAGAACCACAGAGTTCTTCCACCAGGACAAGGAGTGAAAAGTGGATCCTCCTGCTGTTTGATTTCCTTTTCCCAAATGTACCCAAACCTTACCAAAGGTATAAGGTATCTATATTTCTATCAATCTATAAAATAGCCTCTGTTTCAGTGCCAAGGCAATCAGGTGCAGTCAGTCCTCCCTGTAAACCTGCCCCTTTAGGTCAGGATGAGCTCAAATCCCGTGCTTAGAGGATGGGAGGGACATCTCCTGAATGTATCACACATTTGATTTATTGAACTGCACCAAAATGAACGGATTGAGTCCAGAGGAAGAGTGCAGCAACATGAGGTTTAATCAAACCATCCCTCACTTCTGCTGGAGCTCACTTTGGGGTTTATTTTCTGAATGCAGATAGTGTGCAAAAATAATAAAAGGATGTGTTATTTGAGACAGAACAGTTAAAAAATTTTAAATCCTCTCTGCATCGTTATGCACATTATTATTGTTTTGAATATGACACAAGTGTCTCTCTCGATGCAAACAAATTAAATTGCTTTCACATATATACAATATAATTATACCCCACAAGGGATAATGCAGTAAACACCATGTTTCAGTGCTTCATGTGCATTGAAAATATTGATTAAAGATGCAGATAATCTATTCTGCATCACTTTGTAAGAGTCATATTTCTTCCTAGGAAATTTCTGCCTGTGCTCTGAGGTGTTGGCATACCAAGGGATTCAGTAGATGGAAACCACAGATGACAAGTGGTGGCATTATTGAAGTGAATCCCCTGAAATGGAGGTAGCTCCTTCACAAAGTTTATCCAAAAAGTTAAAGAATTAATTTTCTGAACTGCCTTGTTGTTAAAATCTGGACAACCAGAGGGAAAATGATGTTTTCTCTATCTTTAAAACATGTGGTTGAGCTCAGGACTTGTGAACCAATGGGCCTTACCTCAGTATTTAGTAAAATTGCTGAAAAATAACAATAGATTAATAATGAATGTAATATATTCTAAGGATAAATTGCAGTGATCCCAAAAGGAAAATTTTCTTTCCTCCAGAGCGTCAGCAAAATAACAGATAACTGAGAAGTGATACAGTTAATTTATTTTGGGTTTTAAAAAGCTGAAATGACCATTAAGGAAACAGAGTAATCACAGGGCAGGGCATAATGAACTTTCCTGGACTAGAAGCTGCTTAAGGAAGGAAAGAAAGAATGGAATAAACAGGTTTAGGAAGTTAAAAACTGGACTGGACTGAAGACTTAATTCTGTTTTAATGTCTAATGGATGTTATTTATGGTGTTGGGTGAT